GGACTAATTTGGAACATGTAGTCCTTATTACCTTAAATATGGTAAATATTTATTATTTTTTCACATCTGTATTTTAGCTGCATCCTAACGGAAGATTTCAGTTTTGACACAGTAAAGTGCAAACTAAAGAATCCTAATCACTTCTTCATAGAACATTCTCCCATTCAGCTTCTTCAAGGAGTTAGTTTACATTGACAGAATGATTTTGCCAAGGATTAAAACCTCAGTAAATCAGAGAGCAAAAGACATGAGTAGACAATTCAAAAAATGAGAAAAAGAGCTCTGATGAATTTCTGCCATGTTCTGAGCACAAGTAGGTACCTTACATTGAATCTTCACGCTAATGCTGTAAGTAACGGGTGTTTTGCTAATTTTCCATATGAATGAATGGAAATTCTGAAAAATCATAATTAGTAAGTCTGGATCTAGAATTAAAGTATTTCATTCCCAAGCTTATTTTTTTCTCATTATTCTAATGCTGCTACCCATGAAAAGAACATAAACCTAATTTTAAAAAGAAGGATAGGGACTTCCCTGGTGATCCAGTTTCTAAGACTCCAAGCTCCCAAGGAAGGGGCATGGGCTCAATCCCTGGTCATGGAGCTGCATCCCACATGATGTAACAACAAAAAAAGAACCTGCATGTCACAACTAAAACCTGGAGCAGCCAATAAATTTAAAGAAAAAAATTTTTAAAGGATACATTTCCAACAGTATTTCCAACTATTTTTTATCAATTATCAATAAGTGAATTATAAAGTATCACAAAATCTTAATGAAATTAGAATGATTTTTGCCTAAGTTGTATATTGTACATATCTAGACCCTCGCAATCTGAGTAGTTGGTAATATCTCATTTTGTACAAATTCCTCTAAAGTTTTTTATTTCTCAATTTTATTTATCTGAATTCCAGCACCTGCTCATTTATTTTGTTTATATGAATGTACAAATTTATCCATTTGACTGATGGTTATTTAGGTTGTTTCCATTCTTTTTATCATTATAAACAGTGCTACAGTAAGCATTCTTATTCATGTTGCCTTCCACAGATACAGGATTTTTGTAGAGCATATATTCCAGTAGAGTGGAATTGTTGAGTTGAAAATTATGCTCATCTTCAAACTTACTATAAATTACCATTTGCTGCTGACTATATCAGTTTATATTCCTACAACTGTATGAGAATTTTCATTTTTCATTCTTCCTTTGGCTTATTGTCAGCTTGTATTATCCATTGTAACATTTTTGGCCCATTTTGATTGGTATAAAATGATAGCTCAATGGAGTTTTTATATGTATTTCCTTTATTACAAATAAAATAATTAGTGAAATTTGTTTTTTGACATTTAGATTTTCTCTTCTGTGAAATACCTAGCCATGTCTCTTTTGCCACTGTTGCTGTTTTAACCTTGATTTATAGGCACTCATTACGTATTCTGGATAGTAATCATTTGTTGTATGTATTATACATATCCATTTGCCTGGGTTTTTTTTTTTTTTTTAGCTTTGTTTATGGTACCTTTTTTTTTTTAATAGTTTTTGTATCTTAAGAAATTCTTTCTTGCTTTCAAGATCATAAAGATGTTCTATATTTTCCTTTAAATGTCTGTTTTTCTTTTCATGTTCAGTTCTCTAAATAGGAATTTGTTTTGTATACTGTATAGAGTAGACTTTGAAGGATATTCTGCTGGTCTCTGTGTTTGTCCCCACAGTCTCTTGAATTGAATAGGATTATAACAAATCTTGATGAATGTTAGAGCAGACCTTATTCTTAGAAACTCTCTTAGCTGTTCTGGTTTCATTTCTCTTTCATGTTAATTTTAGTATCAGCTTCTTAAGTTCCAGAGGTCAAGAGGGTTATATCTTTTTGGTATTTGATTGAAATTTCTTTGAATTTACAGATTAATTTATAAATAATTATACTAATAAGGTATATTGCTCCATTTATTAATATTTAGATCTTCTATAGTAGTAAAGACACCTATTATTTCAGTAAGTCTTCTACATCTGTTGTTTAGATTTCATCCTAAGTGTCTCACACTTTTTGTTGTAATGTTAAGCGGTATCTTTTTTTTAAGTGGTATCTTTTTTTAAATTACATTTTAAGTTGGTTGCTAGTATATAAGAACATAATTTATTTTTATCTGTTGATCTTAAATCTAGCAGCTTTACTGAACTCTCTTATTCTATAATTTATCTATAGATTAGAGGATTTTCTCTCTCAACAGTCATACTGTGAAGAATAATAATTTTGTTTCTTCCTTTCCAATCCTTTTATCTTTTATTTCTCTTAACTTGTGTACCTGTGCCAGCTAGCACTTTCTATTACCTTAAGTTGGATTTAGCATAGATTTTGGTGAATAACTTTTATCAAATTAAGGAAGTTCCTTTCTAGTCCTGATACTGTGAAAGTTTTAGTTGTGGTGCTGAATTTTACCTGATGCTTTTTCCAGAGCAGTTATCTATAGAAATGATTGTACATTTATTTCCCCTTAGTGTTTTAATGTGGTATATTTTGTTAATAGGTTTTTAAAATATTAAATGTAAATATTACTTGTTCAGTTAAACTGAGTTGATTTGTGAAAGGGAATGAAGGGAAAAATGCATGTATATGTAGGTTTATAAAATGTTAGGAATAGAGAGACAGATTCTTGCTCTTTGAAACTCATGCCTAATTCAGCTCTACTCACTGATTTTATCCCATCTTAAACTTTCCTTCACCTCAAAGCCTACATTGCTGTAGGGAAGATGGTGAATAGTAAAATGATTAAAAGTGCAAACACTAAGGAAAATTAATAGAATGTTAAACAGAATAGTATTTGTTTAGTAGTTTCAGCTCTGTGAGATAAGATGAATTAATTGTGAGTGCTAGTATTATAATAATCCAGTGAAGAAAGTTTACCTGTAGGATTAAAGGAAAGACAAAATAAGCATGTTAATGACCATATATTTATTTTCCTTTATCCACTTATTTTTTTAAATTAACACAGAAGCAGTATATGTTTATTTGATATATTTCCTGCCAGCCTCACTTTAATGTGCAACAGTATTCTTACATTTTTAATAGATGAATATAGGTATACAGTTTTTTAATGTATAAGATTTAAATAAGATACCCAGAATACTGATACAGTCTTATCAGTCTCTCTTTATTTAGTTAGCTTGAAATTGTAAAGTTAGCTTGAAATCTAAAGTTTATTTGGGTGGAAATACAAAACCAACATAACTATCCATCATTAGGGACATGTAGGATCCAGGTAGTGAGATATCCTGCAATGTGAAAAGGAGTGATAGAATTCCATATTAGTACATATAAGATCGATATCTAAGATATATAATGAGAAAAAGAAATCAAAGCCCAGAATAGTATTTCAAATGTTTTATCATTTGTGTTTTTTTTCATTAAGAGAGGAATATGATATATATTCACTTAATTACCATGCACCCAAACTACAGAATAATATGAAGCCATTAAAAAGAAATTATTGACATGGAAAGATCTCTAAGACATTGTTATTTTTAAAATAATAATAAAATAATAAAACAAGTCATAAAACATTTATCATCTGATCTCATGTTTTTAAAAGTTATATATCCATTTTTATCTCTAAGTGTATATTAAAAGAACAAGATACGGAAGTACAAAACCAACATAGCTATCTATTGTTAGGGACATGTAGTAGGTCCATGTCCATAATTAGTACATGTAGTAGTTAGGTATTAGCTACTAATAATGGTTACTTCTTTTTTCTTTTTTTTTGGTTACTTCTTAAGGATACTTGGAGACCAGAAGTCTTTACTGTTTATATCTATGTGGTTTAAATTTTTTATGCTGAGATTTCATTCATATATTATTTCTGAAATAAAGGACAATGTAATATGTGCTCACTATTAAAAAATAAAGATTTAAAGAAAAATAAAAAATATCCACAATAGTCTCACTACCTAACTACCTAACTATCTGGAAGGATATTGTTAAATATCCTTCCAGAGATGAGGGACATTTTGTGGATGACATTTAAACCTAAACCAAGGAGAATAAGAGAAAGGGCACCACTGTGGACATGTTTTTTAGGTAGGGAAATAATATGATAGCATGTTGACTCAGGTGGTAAAGAATCTGCCTGCAATGCAGGAGACCTGATTTCAATCCCTGGATTGGGGAGATCCCCTGGAGAAGGGAATGGCAACCTACTCCAGTATTCTTGCCTGGAGAATTCCATGGACAGAGGAGCCTGATGGGCTACAGTCCATGGGATCTCAAGGAGTTGGAAACTACTGAGAGACTAGTACTTTTCACTTTTCAGCCTACTGTCGTTTTGGTTTTACTTTTCACTGTACCCCCAGTATCTTTTAGCACATAAGTATTTAGCAGCCCATAAGTAAGAAATGAATGGTGGTGATCTACTAACGATCGGTGAAGCTCTCTTCTAGTTCCAAAATCCAGGATTAAGAAGTCATCCTAGTTGGCTCCTTGAAGACTGCTGATTGTAGCTAGATAACATTGGGCAGATATTGTTACTACCTGTAGCTTGGATTAGCGCTAGTAGCATTTAATACCATTGTCTTCTCAAATCTGTACAAGACAGGGAAAGCTCTCCTTAGAACAGTTAAGCAATCTGGGGTGGCACAAAAGGCTTTGTTTAAGAAATAATACCTAACCTTGTCTTCTGAGGTACTCTGGCCTTCTTTGTCCCTTTATAGGCCTTGTCTCATAGCCAGAACACTGCTCTGTACATGTAATAGGGAGTGGAATGATTCAGTTACCCATGATGAAAGAGATTATAAAAACTGTAATTTTAGGTTTTTCTGTTGTTCTTGTCTTGTAGTCAAACAGGTCAAGCTGAAACTGGTTAATATTGGAAATATTTTTATATGTATTGATACATAGATATATGTAAGAGGATAATTTTAAAACCTATAATTAATTATCACGGAGCCTTAGATTGTGTTTTTTTAAGGAAACATTAATTTGTACCCTTTGTGTTTTTCTTCTTAGTTTCTGCCACTGCCTTCTACAAAGCACAACCTGTAATTCAGTTCATGTGTGAAGTTCTTGATATTCATAATATTGATGAGCAACCAAGACCTCTGACTGATTCTCATCGGGTAAAATTCACCAAAGAGATAAAAGGTGAGTTAATTAGCATTTGGAACAACTTAACTGTAAAATGCATGAATATAAAAAACGTTCATGGAAATTTTTTAAGATTTAAATCTGTTCATGTAACATCACCAGTAAAAATATGGATTAATTTTAAAATGTTACATTAAAATCATTGCCATAACATCTTAGGTAGTGTTTCAATGAAAGAAATACCAAGTAATGGAATTAATACTAGTTAATTTTTTGTTGATACTTTCCCTTACTAGCTGAAGGCATAAAGAGGTACTCTCATAGGAAAATGCTCCTATGATACTGTTTAAAATAGGAAATTTATTCCCAAAACATTGACACTTCAGGACTGGAGCCATTCTTTGAACATTTTCTAATATAGTGACTTCTTTATTTTTCTGAAATGATAGCAGAATATTTTATATCTTTGTAAATTTATAGATGTGGGCTAGCCTGTTTCATGTGTTGTTCTAGAGTTGAAATTTAGTAATTTCATGTACGTTATTTAGTTGACCATTGATCTTGCCTATTTTAGTTAGCAGCTAAAATTTATACAGTGGTATTACATCATATATATGTTTTACTAATATAAATTCATCTCTACATGGTCTTCCAAAGAGAAAAATTAAAAATTAATTTCAGTTATATTCTAAAATTTATATTTTGTATGTATTCTTTATATAATTGTAGCTTTCTATGTAAATATATAGTTTTATGTGCAAACCCATATACAATGGGTTTATCAGCAATTTAATTTAATTTAATATCAGTGTACTTTATTTATTAGCAGTATAAGGGATTTTTCAAGAATAATTTTGATTATGTAAGATTCTTGCCTTATTCATCACTTTGGAACTTAGTCCTCATGTAAGATGTGACTCCACTGTATTTAGTTCTTTATTATTTAGGCACAAAGAGAAATATTATATTCTCTAATTCGAATGAATACTATAAATTCTGTTTATAATAAGTGTTACATCTTAAATAGTCAGAAATAATTATGTTGTTTAATTTTAAGGTTTTACCTATTTGTTGCAGGTAATTTTCAGCTTGTGGTTTAAATGAAGCATTGAAGTTTGTTTTCTGAGCATCTTTCAGTCCCCCAAGTCAGTATAGTTGAATATATCCTGCTAGCTCTAGTAATCATTTATTCTGTGCCATTCAGTAACCAAGAGAGAGATAGTCATTGTAATAAAACATTTAAAGGAATTTCCCTCCTGCTTTGAAGATAAGCATCTATTTATCTCAAGTTTTTGTCAGAATAAGAAAGTGTTATATATTCTTGCATTGCAGTCATACCATTGTCCTGTCATAATCTATATTAACTGCACAGTTAGCTTTGTTGGAAGGTAGTGCATTACCCACCATTAATATGTGATCATCTAAATGCCATGGTTTCCAATGGAGTTGCTGCTTAGTTACCACCTCTGATATCATGAAGTCACTTACATTATTTTGCGGTAACTATGCAATCAACTCATATCACCACTCTATCACAGAAAATACAAGATGTACAGAACAAGGATTCAACTGCTGCCCGAAGAGCATGGACTCGATCTTAACTTCAACTGCTCAGGGGGCCAAAGAAATGACTGAAAAAATGACTAGAAAGCATTATAAAGTTGATGTGATAGTGAAGGTAAAACCAAGTTTATAGGTTAAATATTTGATTTATTAAAGCCAAAAACATTTTTCGGTTGGATGGAGGGTTTGGGGAGGGACCTGGGCAGAGAATTATCTAGTCCATTTTTTTAAAAATTTCAAATCTTTGCTAACCCCTGAATTTGGATCTCACCCTTAGGCACCTATGACTGTAGATTTGGGATATAAAAATATGAGTTAGATCTGACTGACAAACTGATGATTTTTTCCTCCATTCAAAGTCAAGAAGGCTTTTAAAAAAGAGAGAGAGAACTCTTTAAAGTACATCATGTATTCCTATCTCAGTAACACAAGAGAATCAAAGTTACACGTTCTATACTATATATATATACTATGTATTTGAGTTTAATTTTTAGTCAGCATGAGAAATTTGATGAAAACTGTTTAATAATGGTACAAATTGTGGGATAATGAATACATTAACTAGTACAATATTCATTTCGTTTCAGTTGAACTTTTTCCTAAACAATTAATAATAACTTTAGGGTGGTTTCTTTGTGCAATAATTCATCATAGCTAAGTAGCAGAAATATTGGAGGAAGTTTATGGTAAAAGTACCATATGTATGTAAGAGTATCAGTTTTATTTTTGATAAAAACTTATTTAGTAGTCTTGTAGAACCTTACTGATAATTTTTTTTTAATTCAAAGGGAAGATTTGAAAACAAATTGCTAAGTGGTATAGATAACAGAAATTTGTTTTAAATTTTCTATCATGTTTTCCCCCAAACAGTATTTTTACATCTTGTTTACTTCATATTGTTGGTATTTCCTTCTTGAAAGACCTTCTCTTGGTAATATTTTCTATTTTCCTTCGTAATATAGAAGAATAATAAATGCTCTAATTGACCTAAAATTTTAGTTTTATAAAAATAGTTTCTAACAAAAACTATTTCTCACTGATCAGTTAAGAGTACTTCTCAAAAAACCTCATACCAATCTGGTATAGTGGCACTGTGTCCATTTAACATCTTAATTTGTGCTGATATGTCATAAGAAGATATTGCTGTGATTGAATTCTGTGTTTGGTTCTGCAGTTAGTAGATAGGAAAATAAGTTATACTGTATCAGGGTTTCTCAACCTTGGCACTATTGATATTTTGGGCTGGATAATTCTTTGTTGTGGTCGGGGATGGGAGGTAGTGCTGTTCTATGCATTGCAATATAATTTAGCAGCATCCCTGGATCCACCCATTCCTAAATCTAGCATCCACTAGATGCCAATAGCACCCCCAGTTTTAACAATCAGGGAAGCCCCCAGAAATGTCTCCAGACATTACCAAATCTTCCTGGAGGTCAGAGTCACCTTGGGTTGAGAACATCTGCACTATGGGATACATAGATATGAAAGAAAAAAAATTAAAAGTTTTCAGTCACAGTAGTTGCATTTCATGTCCTCAGGAACATTACTAGTGATTTCAGTACAGGTGTAGAGCTCACATCATCTCAGAAAATCCTTTTGGACACCATTGCTTAGGAAAATTCATCCCAAAGAATTTCAGCCAATGGTTTAAAAGCCCACAGCTTCACCTTCTAAAGCAGACCTGGGATCCTCAAACCCCTAGGTTCCACAAATGGACTTATGGATCCAGTAACATCTAAATTCATATGCTACTAAGTGTATGTTTCATTTTTCTGAGAATTTATTGCTTTTGTTAGATTCTCAAAGGGGTCATTGATTCCATAAGAAGGTCTGGATTACTTGCTGTAGGAATTAGTTTGGTTGCATTTGATATTTTGCCCTGATTTCTAATGGTCAGTAGTGAAAGAACTGTATCACTATATTATCCTTTAACAAAATTGTCACTCCATGTCTATTAAAAGGGCCTGGGATTTTTTTTTTTCTTCCTGGTTTAAAAATCTCTGAAGGACTTTCTTCTTGAGCTTTATGAAATTATGATCTTCAGTCAGTATGTGATGCCTGGGGAGTTGAGATATCACATACTTTGAAGGTTACAGAATGTTTTGAGAGTTACCGTAACTCCTTTCCATTGCTCCTTCCCTCTCCCAGCATAAAAACCTGCACTGTAAGCAGGGCTTTTTTTTTTAATTAATGAAGAACTTTATCCCTTGATCTAAAGGCTTTGCAAATTTTATGCTATTTTTTAATAGCTTGATAGAATAGGGAAATGGTTTGGAGTTAGGTCTATCATGATTGTACCCATTATTAACTATGTTTTATATATATATATATATAAAATCCTTTGTTAATCATATCACCTCTTTCACAGATTTTCTGTCTGTTTAGAATTTTGAGTTTTTATAGTGGTGAACAGCCTTTAGAGTTATGAATATGTCACTTGTGACAGTTCTGTAACCTCAGTTTTTCTTGTTGGGAACAGGTCTGAAGGTTGAAGTGACTCATTGTGGAACAATGAGACGGAAATATCGTGTTTGTAATGTAACAAGAAGGCCTGCCAGTCATCAAACGTAAGAAAAGCTGGTGTTTGTCAGAACAGAGATGATGTGAGGCAGCTTACTCTAGTTGGTAGATTGGGAGTTTTGCTTGCTCCTAATGGGATGAGTTGTTAATGTGTAATTTTTTTTTTTTCCAGCTTTCCTTTACAGTTAGAAAATGGCCAAACTGTGGAGAGAACAGTAGCACAGTATTTCAGAGAAAAGTATACTCTTCAGCTGAAGTACCCACACCTTCCCTGTCTGCAAGTGGGGCAGGAACAGAAACATACCTACCTGCCACTAGAAGTAATGTGTTTAGGCTGCTTATTAATATCCTCTTATTCATCATTCTGTTAAGGTTTTTAATGACCTGTAACTTACTTCATACTCTCACATTTATTTTGAAATTGAACTGTCTTTAAATTTTCTTATTTATTCTGAATTTTCAGTAATGAAATAATACGGGAAAAAATTCATCCACAGTCCTGCCCCTCTAAACATAACTGCTGTTAGCATTTTGGTACACTTCTTTTCAGCCTTTTTATCCAGTGTACATTTTACCTGATTATAATCATACTGTGAAGCAGTATTGTTTACTGCTTTTCTACTTGACATGATATTAAACAGAAGTGGCTTAATGGAGTAGATTTTAAATTTTAAGTTAAAATTTAAAATGTCACATTTAATTGCACTCAATTTTAAGAAAGATATATATATCTAGTACAAAACTTTTTTCCATTTGTAGGTCTGTAATATTGTGGCAGGGCAACGATGTATCAAGAAGCTAACGGACAATCAAACCTCCACTATGATCAAAGCCACAGCAAGATCTGCACCAGATAGACAAGAGGAAATTAGCAGATTGGTTAGTACTTAACCCCAGAAATAGAAATTAAAAACATATTAGGGTGAGCTACTAAAGGAGAATGTCCACCATATCAACTCGTGTCTTATCATTTCATGGGCTGTCAGAATTAAAAGAGATTATGGAAGTATTCTAGTGGTAGTCTAGGGGTAGAACTTGGTGAGTTCTGTGAAGAAGGCTAGAGCCTTCTAATTTAACCCCAAACTCTTTAGTTAGATTCAGAACAGATAATCTCAGAACTAATGTTTCAGTTTAGTGAACTGAACTTTTATCACCTCCCACCTAAAATAGGAAAGGAAAGTCAAGGTTTTATGACTAGCAATAGTGAGAAGCTTAACACACAAAGTAGGATTGCTTAGCCCCAGTATCAACACTGGTAACTGTAGGATGAATAAAAAAGTATAAGACAGCTCCAGCCTTACGGGGTCTCTAAGCTCTCCTTATTCTAAATGGGGAGAAAAGAGACATTAATACATGATAAAACTGATGGAATTAGGGCAAAGTGAAAAATAAAGGCACCTGGATCTTATCTTGAAAGTTGGTTGCTCACTTGTGTCTGACTTTTTGCTACCCCATGGACTGTAGCCCGCCAGGCTAGCACTTGGAATCTTAACAGCTCTAGGTTCAAAGTCTAACTTCTTTACTCACTTACTTTTACTATATTTATAATTATAGCATTCGGTAGGCTAGAACAGTGACAGAGTAGGAACTCTGGAATCAGAATGTACAGATTTCAGATTATATGTCACTTGCTTAGCTATATGGTTTTAGATCAATCATTTCACTTTACTAAGCTTTAGTTTTACCCTCTGTAAAATAAAAGTATAAAAGACTTATTTAATAATTAAGGTTATTGTAAAACTTAATCATAAAACATTTCACACCAAGCACATCACCAAGCAAGTCTTGGTAAATAGTTGTTATTCTTTGTAATTTTACAGAAATGAATGGCATTTAAGCTTGAAGAAAAGAATCATTAGTGCATAATTTAGAAAACTTTTCCTGCTTATTGTGGGACTATATATTTAGATTTATATAGTGTTTTTACTAGATTTTTACTCAAAGACTTGAACATTGCCCTCTTTGTAACCTTATTTGACCTTTACCCTGAGACTAAATAAATATATTTTGAAAAACACATAATAGCACACTATAAGCATGAATTACACTTTTGAGATTACAATAAATTCTTTGCATATATTGGTATATTATGTAAAAATTATAATCTGCATCTCGTTGTGGCTTTCTTGTCTGTCTCAAGTGTACCTCTTAAGTAAATTTTATCTTCTGCTATATATTTTATCAGAAAATGTTCAAAATATTCAAGTAGATATAACTTGTTATCAGGAAAAAAAGCTTAGGATTATTGATATTTGCTATCAAGCTCTACATAAAATTTCAGTAGTATATGTCCAGATCCTCTGATTAGAAGGAATTAACCATTTCTAGGTCAGGTATTTCTCTTGCAATCTCTTGACCACCCTCCCCAAAGTGTATTAGACTTAATCATATAAAATTACCATTTTCATGAATCATAAATAGTTGAAATTTCTTATTATCCAACCTAATACATTTAAATATCCTATAAATGAACAGGAAGTTCACAGACTTCCTACTGTCCACTCATGGTCTGTAATTCCCAGGTTAAGAATCTGCTTTATAGTTTGGGTACTATTATCTAGGCCTATTATAAAACGTTGACACAGTGAAGAAAAAAAATTAGAGGGTTCTAAAGGGAAATTAGGGGAATTTTGAAAGTAACTACAAACCTTTTCTGTTGTTAGGTAAGAAGTGCAAATTATGAAACAGATCCATTTGTTCAAGAGTTTCAATTTAAAGTTCGAGATGAAATGGCTCATGTAACCGGACGCGTACTTCCAGCACCTATGCTCCAATATGGAGGCCGGGTAAAACCTCTTGATAATGCTTAAATTATAAACATACAGTTTCTGTGTTTGGAGAGAAGGACATCCTAGCTGAGTCTAGAATTTAGAAAGTATTTTTCATTCCAACAGTCTTTTTGTTTCAAGATGAGTGTCTTTGCTTGAACTTAGTAGAACTTTTTTCTGTGATAAAAATATAAAATATTGATTTAGAAAAGCCTGTTCCAGCAATTTGAACTGCTTATTTTCAGCTCATTCAGATAAGTTATATATTAAATGTTTGTTCTTTTTTGCCTTATTATTTCTCTTTCTCTGTAGAACCGGACTGTAGCAACACCAAGCCATGGAGTATGGGACATGCGAGGGAAACAGTTCCACACAGGAGTCGAAATCAAAATGTGGGCTATAGCTTGCTTTGCCACACAGAGGCAGTGTAGAGAAGAAATACTGAAGTAAGGCTTGTTGTTAGTTTCACTTTGGGACCATTTTGTGTTTAAATTTTGTATTTCAATTTTAAATTATTCAGCTGATATTCTAACCAGCATTGCCTCAATATATATTTGGGCACGTGTATTTAATCAATGAACCTTTAAAAATGTTTCTTCTCCGTATTTGATGAAGATTCTGAATTTTTTGGTCATATCCAAGTCACTGATTCATTCTTATAGGCATTATAATAGACTAGCTTATATGGTACAGCAGGAGTACCATTGACTTTTGATGGCAAATAGGTTAGATTTAATTTCCAGGCATGTCACTTCCTGACTTTATTACCATGAAATATTTATTTAATCTTATTATGCTTCAGTTATTACCTTTTAAAAATAGAGATAATAGTACTTATTTACTGAATGAGAATTAAATAACATCCTTATTTCTCAATTTCTCTTTCCTTGAAAGAGTCATTTAACTTCTCATTTTCACGTTCCAAAATTTGGCCTACATCTCCACTACTTTTCATCTTCTCCAGATTCTTTCCCTCAACAATCTTCTGTTTAAGTTTAAAACAAATCTTCATTTTACCTTGACACACTCTCAGGATTCCAGGCTTCCATTCAGTCTCCTTCCTTGAAGTTTTAGTGCTCTATTAAAATTGATTCCTGGAGTCAATTTCAAGCACAAAAGTATCTTTGTACTTATCAATTCTAATGGTCTATTCTCAATAGCTGAGAAAAGAAGAGAAGCTAAAGGCAAAGGAGAAAAGCAAAGACATACCCATTTGAATGCAGAGTTCCAAAAAGAGCAAGGAGAGATTAAAAAAAAGCCTTCCTCAGTGATCAGTGCAAAGAAATAGAGGAAAACAATAGAAAGGGAAAGACTAGAGATCTCTTCAAGAAAATTAAGAGATACCAAAAGAAAATGCAAAGGTGGGCACAATAAAGGACAGAAATAGTATGGACCTGACAGAAGCAGAAGATATTAAGAAGAGGTGGCAAGAATACACAGAAGAACTGTACAAAAAAGATCTTCATGACCCAGATAATCAAGATGGTGTAATCACTCACCTAGAGCCAGACATCCTGGAATGTGAAGTCAAGTGGACCTTAGGAAGCATCACTACAAACAAAGCTAGTGGAGGTGATGGAATTCCAGTTGAGCTATTTCAAATCCTAAAAGAGGATGCTCTTAAAGTCCTACAGTATGCCAGCAAATTTGGAAAACCCAGCAGTGGCCACAGGACTGGAAAAGGTCAGTTTTCATTCAAATCCCAAAAAAAGGCAATGACAAAGAATGCTCAAACTTCCACACAGTTGCACTCATCTCACACGCTAGCAAAGTAATGCTCAAAATTCTCCAAGCCAGGCTTCAACAGTATATGAACTGTGAACTTCCAGATGTTCAAGATGGATTTAGAAATGGCAGAGGAACCAGAGATCAAATTGCCAGCATCTGCTGGCTCATCAAAAAAGCAAGAGAGCTCCAGAAAAACATCTGCTTTAATTGACTTTGCCAAAGACTTTGATTGTGTGGATCACAACAAACTCTGGAAAATTCTTTAAGAGATGGGAATACCAGACCACCTGACCTGCCTCCTGAGAAATATGTATGCAGGTCAAGAAGCAACAGTTAGAACCAGACATGGAACAACAGACTGGTTCCAAATTGGGAAAGGAATATGTCAAGGCTGTATACTGTCACCCTGCTCATTTAACTTATATGCAGAATACATCATGCCAGATGCTGGGGTGGATGAAGCACAAGCTGGAATCAAGATTGCCAGGAGAAATATCAATAATCTCAGATATGCAGATGACACCACCGTTATGGCAGAAAGCGAAAAAGAACTAAAGAGCCTCTTGATGAAAGTGAAAGAGGGGAGTGAAAAAGTTGGCCTAAAACTCAACCTTCAGAAAACTAAGATCATGGCATCTGGTCCCATCACTTCATGGCAAATAGATGGGAAAACAATGGAAACAGTGTCAGACTTTATTTTGGGGGGCTCCAAAATCACTGTAGATGGTGACTGCAGCCACGAAATTAAAACATGCTTGCTCCTTGGAAGAAAAGTTATGACCAACCTAGACAGCATATTGAAAAGCAGAGACATTACTTTGCCAACAAAGGTCCATCTAGTCAAGGCTATGGTTTTTCCAATAGTCATGCATGAATGTGAGAGTTGGACTATAAAGAAAGCTGAGCACCAAAGAATTGATGCTTTTGAACTGTGGTGTTGGAGAAGACTCTTGAGAGTCCCTTGGACTGCAAGGAGATCCAACCAGTCCATCCTAAAGGAAATCAATCCTGAATATTCATTGGAAGGACTGATGCTAAAGCTGAAACTCCAATACTTTGGCCACCTGATGTGAACAAGTGACTCATTTGAAAAGACCCTGATGCTGGGAAAGATTGAAGACAGGAGAAGGAGACAACAGAGGATGAGATGGTTGGATGACATCACTGCCTCAATGGACATGAGTTTGAGTAAACTCCGGGAATTGATGATGGCCCAGGAAGCCTGGCATGTTGCAGTCCATGGGGTTGCAAAGAGTTGGACATGACTGAGTGACTGAACTGATTCTCAACCATTATTTTTTCAAAATTTGTGCAGCATTAAATACAACTGACTGCCTTCCTGATAGTCTCTCCATTCTTGCCTTCCTGGTTTCTTTTTATCACTTTGGTTTCGTTTCTCCCCTGTTGTCTCTCCTTTGGAGCACCAATCTTTGGGGCTTTGGCCTTCTCGAGGGCTTCTGCTGTCACTCTTATTTGAGGAGTTGTGCTATGGTGAAAAGAGGACCAGCTCCACTTGTGATTAGCTCCATTCTAAAAATTTAGGCTTCTGATTAACAAAGAATAACATTTAAAGTTTTTTCATTTGCCTCTTTAAACCCTTGCTCCATGTTCATATATTTTGGACAGAGAAACTGAACACTGTATGCCCTCAAACTCTGTGTTGTTTTTTTCCAATTTCCACTCATGCTGCTCTATACTGAAGTGCCTCCATTCTATCTCTAACTCTTCTAAATAATACTCAGTCTTCTGTGATTTGCGATGCTGGAAATAATCCATAGTAGTAAACATAGTAATTTGTCAGTATCCTCTCCATTTGTACTTGTCACTGCCTCTGTAAAATAAAATTATAATATTTGTGTAAAGTTCTTATCTCCTCTCTAGAATCTAATTTTCCTAAGAAAAATGATTATTATCTGATGTAAGTCTCCACTAACAGACCCTATATGCCTGTAATGAATAGTTCTTGAGTGACGTAGAGATCAGTTTACCCCAGAATCAATTCAGAATTTGTTTTGCCTCCTTCATGTGAAAAAAAATTTTTTTCTATTTAATTCTGTTCATGCATATGTACATACTAGGCCATGTCCAACTCTTGGCAACTCTATGGACTATAGCTTGTCAGACTCCTCTGTCCGTGGGATTCTCCAGGCAAGAATACTGGAGTAGGTTGCCATGCCTTTCTCCAGGGGAACTTCCCTACCCAGAGGTCGAACCTGCATCTCTATATCTCCTGCATTGGCAGGCAGGTTCTTTACCACTAGTGCCACCTCCATTTTATTAGCTCCAAATCTCTAAATGTATGTCTTAAGATTCACTTAGTATATTTTTTTCCTCCAAAGTTGTTATCCCCTGACTTTCAAGTAAAATGTCTGGAGCACAGTTAAGTACAATGCTGCGATTATCTTTCTTGACCTCCAGAGACCAAAGAAAACACCTCTAATTGTTTTTCAAGCTTTGAGATATTCTTTTCATTTTACATTTGTTATTCATGGCTTGATAGAAGTTTCATAATCATTGGGCTTACAGCTCTTGTTCAGGCTAACTGGAAATATTCAACTTCATACTTTCTTGAATTAGATACTAATAAGGAATAGGAGGAGGAGGGAATTCCTACAAACTTCATCTCTGTCCTGAGGGAATCAGAGTTTTTGAGCAAAGATCTTGCAGATCCTTTACTTAGGGATGTATTTGTTTTAAAAACAAGTAAAGTGATTGTTAAACCTCAACATTATTACTTATTTATCCTAGGCTAAGTGCAGAATTATTAAAGTGCTGTCTACCTCTTTTTTTCTTTTCTTTTCTTTTTTTTTTTTCTAAATCTTTTCTGCGAATCTTTCCTGCTGTCCTGGTTTCAAATAGGCATTTATTGTAGAAAGAAATTCTGAACTAGGTCATAGTTCTGGGTCTTGCCACTTATCGAAGCATTTGACCTTAATCTAATACTTAATGTCCCTGAAGCTATTTCCTGATCTGTAAAATGGCAATAATACCTTACCCTACCACTTTCTTATGAATCTTTTCAGGATCAAATTAGTAAATTGTATAATAGCTTAAATTTATCAAGCTTTAACACCAGGTCTTGGGCAGTGCACTAAGTGCTTTACATGTATGATCTCATTTAATCTTCACACCAACCCCATATAGGAAAGTAGTCATTTTACAGGTGAGAGAAATTGAAAAACTTTGCCTAAAATTCTATAGCTAGTAAGTAAGAGAATTAGAACTGGAACCTGTCATGCTTATTCTAGAGCTGAGCTCTTAACCAGCACACTCTATTACTGATCTCCTTTGTAAACTACAAAATGCCACATAACTGTACAGTAGTGTTCTTAGTTTGCAAAATAGGTTACTGACCATTCGTTGGCCTTTACCATCACTAGTCTGGTGACCTCTTGCTATATGGAGCACACAAATCTTTGCTTCATTTTCCATTCTCTTCCAAAACTTTCCATTACTACTTTTTAGATGTTGATAACTAGACATAAGTTTTATTTTTAGTGATTTCTCCTTCCAGGGGTTTCACCGATCAGCTGCGGAAGATTTCCAAGGATGCAGGGATGCCCATTCAGGGCCAACCTTGCTTCTGCAAATACGCGCAGGGGGCCGACAGCGTGGAGCCCATGTTCCGGCATCTCAAGAACACCTACTCAGGGCTGCAGCTCATTATCGTTATCCTGCCTGGGAAGACGCCAGTGTATGGTAAAAATACCGTATTAAGATTGCATTTTTCCTCAGGTACTCTCTATTCCTTTCAGGGACTTCCCTGGCGATCCAGTGGTTAAAACTTCATGCTCCCAAGGCAGGGGACATGGGTTTGATCCCTAGTCAGAGATCTAAGATCCTGCTTGCCAAAGAAAAAATTCCTTTTAAAATTATACTAACGCATATCCTAAAACTTTCAAACATAAAAATACATTTTATAACTATAGTCTTTAAAACCATGTATTGTTACTATAAAAAGAGAAATCAGGAGAGCAAACTAAATAGTTCAAGACTCTATGAAAGGGATTTCAGGGAAGGAGGCATTAAAAAACAATTAAGAGAAGAATTGTTTATTAAAAATGTCATTGAAATAACTTGAGTATCAGTATAATGTAATGTTAAAAGCACATGACAAAAACTACTGTAATGATGTAAAGTAATTAGCCTCCAACTAATAAAAATAAATGGAAAAAAAAAAGCACAGGCTCTGGAGTCAGACTCTGCTGCTTAATACCTAGGTGTTGCCAGGTATGCTACTTTTGTGGTACTACCTGAATTACTTAACTACACGAAGCCTGGTTTTCCTCATCTGTGAAATTGGGGTACTATAAATATTTAGTCCTGAGAAGGTAGTTGTAAAGGTTAAATAAATTTACATATGTAAACAGGGCTTCCCTGGTGGCTAAAATAGTATAAAGAATCTCCCTGCAGTGCAGGAGACCCAGGTTCCATCCCTGAGTCAGGAAGATCCCCTGGAGAAGTGAATGGCTATCCACTCCAGTATTTTTGCCTGGAGTATTCCATGGACAGAGGAGCCTGGTGGGCTGCAGTCCATGGGATCACAAACACTTTTACATAAACAGGTTTATGATAGCACCTGTGGTATAGTGAATGCTCAGTAAATGTTAGCTATTATTAGTATAAACAAGCTAAAGTTTATAAGAGTAATAAGTTAAATATAAATCATTTAAACATGGAAAAACAGAAAGTATAATTTTCAAATTACTGAATGGACTATAATCATTTAAGCTTAGGATAATAGAATTGACATAAGAAAATTTATTTGACTGCATAAAAATTAAATTTTCTGTATATCACAGATGTATAACTAAAATGAAAAGGAAACCATAGAACATCAAAAATATTTGCAGCAAATGGAAACAACAAAAGGCTGTAGTTTATTATTAAAGTATTCATATGGATCTGTTATTGTAATCAAAGGAAAAAAATTTTATATTCTCTTAGATTAATAAATGAAGAAAATAAACCAAAATTTTCAAGAAAAAAACAGGTAAATATATTTGAGAATATGTTGGTTTACACCAATAAAGAAATAAAGAAAAGTACAAATTGATAAAAGGGCATTTTTATGCTACTAAATTAGCAAATGTATTTAAATACTATAATACCAAGTGATTGTGAGTGTACAGTGAATCTAGTATTTAACATATTGCTGATGACAGTACAAACTGATAGTATCCTTTCATTGAAAGTATAAAAATGTGTTTTCAGTCACCAGTTAAGTATTTCTTATTCCAAAAATATGTTCAAAGGAAAGAATTCGTAATATAAAAATACTCCGTGCACAAAATTTTCATAATGATATCTGTGACATTAAGAAACTACTAAGAACTTGTTTTAAATAGTAAGTTTCTGGTGGTGAAATAATACGTAGTGATTAAAAATGATGGTTATAAAAGTCAAAAGATATATTTTAAGTTATGATAAAATACAGAAAGTATTACCTTGTTTTGTGTCCCTGGCTATGTTCCAGTGTCTCCTAGTTTATAGTCTATGGGAACTTGAATAGAATTTGTACCCTACTGTTGTGTGAAAATTCTATAAATCTTCATTGTGTTCAATTGGATCATCATGTTGGATCATGATGCTTTTCAGGTCTACTGTATCCCTTTACTTTTCTGTATATTCATTCTGTTAAATTTTGAGAGTTTGATATTGAAACTCCAACTAAAAATCTTAATTTACCTACCTAGAAAATAATTGTAATATAGAGTGGAACTATATGTAACTTTGTTCTATATTTTCCAAGTCTCCTGTAAATGTGCTATCATAGTTCCATAATTTAAAAAATAAAAGAAAAAGGAAAAATATAGAAGGTGTTAAAGAGTTTGTAAATCAAGGAAAGAACAAATAACTGAAAAAGACAAAGGATATAAAAGAAATACAAATGGTCAATTATCTATGAAAAGATGCTGGGCCTCATTAGACATTAAAGAAAAGTGAATTAGAATAAATTCTTTTTCACCAACAATGATAGCCACTTTTGACAAAGATGTGAATAAGTATACCCTCTCATACACTGTTGCTGGGTGAGAAAGTTGATATTACCATATCATAGCCTCCACATTGATGTTCTTGCCTGCATTCTCTTTAGTTCACTTTCAGTCTATTTTCTACACTACTTCACTCAGTGGATTCAGTGAGTGATTTTTCTAATAGGTTTTACTTTTTAGAACAGTTTTAGATTTACAGAAAAATTCAGCAGATAATATAGAAAGTTCCTATATACCTTCTTTCCCCTGTACACAGCTTTCCCTGTTTTTAGCATCTTATATTAGAGTGGTACATTTAATGAACCAGTATTGATAAATTATTATTAACATATTATCCACAGTTTACATTAAAGTTTACTCTGTACAGGTCTGTGAGTTTTGACAAATGCATAATATCAATATCTACTATGACAGTATCAAAGAATAGTTTCACTACTCTAAAAGTCTCCTATGCTCTATTTTACTCATCTCTCCCTCAATCACCTCAAACCCCTGCCAATCACTGGTCTTTTTAGGTCTCTATAGTTTTGCCTTTACTAAAATGTTGTATAGTCAGAGTTACATGATATGTAACCTTTTCTGAACTGGCTTCTTCCAGTTAGCAATATTTAAGATTCTGTCTTGTCTTTTTGTGGCTGGATAAGTCGTTTCCTTTTAATGCTGAGTACTATGTTGTGTGAGTACTACAGTTCGTTATACATTTACTTATTGGAGGATGTCTTGACTTCTTAACAGTCTTTGGCAATTATGAATAATGCTGCTGAAAACATTCACATGAGGTTTTTGTGTGGACAGAAGTTTCTAACTCAATTTAGTAAATAGGCAGGGGCACAATTGCTTTATCGAATGATAAGACTGCCAAGGACAGAAACGGTAAAGACCTAACAGAGGCAAAAGAGGTGGCAAGAATACACAGAAGACCTATATAAAAAAGGTCTTAATGACCAGGATAAGCACCATGGTGTGGTCACTCACCTAGAGCCAGACATCCTGGAATGTGAAGTGAAGTGGGCCTTAGGAAGCATTACTACCAACAAAGCTAGTTGAGGTGATGGAATTCCAGCTGAGCTATTTCAAATCCTAAAAGATGATGCTGTTTAAGTACTGCACCCATTATGTCAGCAAATTTGGAAAACCCAGCAGTGGCAACAGGACTGGAAAAGGTCAGTTTTCATCCCAGTCCCAAAGAAGGACGGTGTTAAAGTATGTTCACACTACCAGACAGTTGTACTCACTTCCCATGCTAGTAAGGTTATGCTCAAAATCCTTCAAGCTAGACTTCAGCAGTACTTGAATCATGAACTTCCAGATATACAAGCTGGGTTTAAAAAAGGCAGAGGAACCAGAGATCAAAGTGCCAACATTCGCTGGATCATAGAGAAAGCAAAGGAATTCTGGAAAAACATCTACTGCTGCTTCATTGATTATACCAAAGCCTTTGACTGTGGATCACAACAACCTGTGGAAAATTCTTAAAGAGATGGAAATACCAAACCGTCTTACCTGTCTCTTGAGAAACCTGTATTTGAGTCAAGAAACAGCAATTAGAGCCTTACATGTAACAACTGACTGACTGACTGGCTCAAAATTGGGAAAGGAGTACAACAAGGCTATGTATTGTCACCCTGTTTATTTAACTTATATACAGAGTACATCGTGAAAAATGCTGGGCTGGATGAGTTACAAGCTGTAATCAAGATTGCCAAGAGAAATACTAACAACCTCAGATATGCAGATGATACCCTCTAATGGCAGAAAACAAAGAGGAACTAAATTGCCTCTTGATGAGGGTGAAAGAGGAGAGTGAAAAATCTGGCTTAAAACTCAACATTCAGAAAACTAAGATCATGGCATCCTGTCCCATCACTTCATGACAAATAGATGGGGAAAAGTGGAAGCAGTGACAGATTTTCTCTTCTTGGGCCCCAAAATCATTGCAGATGGCGATTGCAGCCATGAAATTAGAAGACACTTGGAAGGAACGCTGTGACAAACCTAGACAGCTTATTAATAAAAGCAGAGCCATCATTGCCAGTAAAGGTCCATGTAGACAAAGCTATGGTTTTTCCAGTAGTCATGTACAGATGTGAGAGTTGGACCAGAAAGAAGGGTGAGTGCCGAAGAATTGATGCTTTTGAACTGTGGTGTTGGAGAAGACTCTTGAGAGTTCCTTGGACAACAAGGAGATCAAACCAGTCAATTAGGAAATCAGCCTTGAATATTCATCGGAAGGACTGATGCTGAAGCTGCAACTCCAATACTTTGGCTACCTGATACAAACAGCCAGATCACTGGGCAAGACCCTGATGCTGGGAAAGACTGAAGGCAAAGGAAGAGGGTGGCAGAAGTTGGATAGCATCACTGACTCATTAGACATGAACTTGGGCAAACTTCAGGAGATAGTGAGGGACAGGGAGGCCTGATGTTACTGCAGTCCATAGGCTTGCAAAGGGTCAGACACGACTTAGTGACTGAACAACAATAAGACTGTCAAATTGTCTTCCAAAGTGACAGTACCATTTTATTTTCCCATCAGCAATTAATGAGAGTGCCTATTCATTCAGCATTCAGTATCTGACAGTTTCCTGGATTTTAGCAATTCTAATAGGTATGTAGTAGTATCTTGTAATTTTACTTTGAAGTTTGTTGATAATACATACTTGAACACATTCAATTGTGCTCATTTCACATGCTAGCAAGGTA